AAGACAAAAAATGGGATTTCTACCAAGAGTTCATTTGTCATATTTGCATTGAAAAGATAGAAAGGTCAGAACGAGGAAGACTTCATTGAATTCCTCATTTTGGGACCCCTCCCCATGAAAGGGACACTGACCCATTTCAAGGGACAAACCACACATGCTTAATAGTTTTTAAAATAATTAGCATGTGAAGCGAGGAATGGGATGTACCAAAATTATGAATATGTGTTTGTATTTTGAGTATTCAATACTTGTATGGATAAAAGACTCTGTAATCACCTGGAAGGTGCAGTGTGGATTTGGGAGCTGACCCACACACAATAAACATACACTTTGTAACTTTAAACTATCAGAGAGTTTTTGTCTGTCACAGTTGGATATCGACACTAGATCAATATCCATATTTTTTAAATAAATCAATGGCTCTCAAAAATCACATTTCCCACATGGATTTTGGCTGCTCCCTCCCGCAGCCACTACCCCGGGGTGGAAAATCTGCTTTTCCCCTTTTTAACCCAAACCCAAGAGCCTGAGAATGCTGCAAATTCCCGGCAAATTCCTGCTCACACGGCTTCCCTGAGGCAGGAAGGCTGATTTCCTTCCAGGAGCCCAAATCCAGATGGTCAGAGATTCCTTCCAAGCTCCCAGAACCTGTTGGAAAAGGCCATTCTGTCTCGATAGCAGCTCTGCATTGGAAGCCCGGCCCGCCAGCTGCTCCAACACCTCTTTTCCAAATTGTTCTGTGAACCAGCCTGGTCAGGGCTGGCAGATTTTGGTGGAGGAATAAAAATCCCTGTGTTTATTCCCATTTTTTTTTGTGTCAGGCAAACATGGAGCGAGTGGAAGAGGCCTGAGTTTGGTTTTTGAGACTCGTTTGTCCTTGTCCATGAGAATCCCCAGCCCTGAAATATTTTATTTTCAGTAGGAATAACCCTGGGAATTCCCAAGGAATTTTCCTCTTCCCAAAGGTCGTGGTTAAAAATGCCAATCACTCGTTTTTTAAAATTTTTAAAGTTTGATAATAATAAAATGGTTATAAAAATAATAATACAATTAGAGTAATAAAGTTTAGAGCTAGGACAACTACAAGACAATAAAAAGCAAAGAATTACGGATGTTTGGATGCTCTAAGTGAGGAAAAGCATGACTTGTGAACAAAAGAATCATCCTTAAACCAATACACTTGTTGCATATTCATATATCCTTCATGGTTATGCATATATTTTATTTAAAAAAAGAAACTCTGTCTGTTGTATGTCAACTGTTTCCTTTAATCCACTGGCATCTTCGAGTCTGAGCAAGGCCTGAAGAAATTAAGGTTATTCTGATTATAAGCCATAAATTCTTCTCTTTTGGAACATTTAGGTATTCCTCGAAGCGAGTATCTCATTCCTAAAAAAACCAAAAAAATCTTCCCCCACATACATAGTCCATATTTTAACATGTTGTAACCTAAAAGTACATTTAAACACACTATGTAAGAGAATTAATACAGCATCACTTTCTAACATTACACATATAATATTCATTGTAACATTTGCGAAAAGCCAATCGCGAAATATTCATTTTTCAAGGATACGGAGATGGAATTAAATCCAACCTGGGGAGCCCTGATGTCGCTCAGGTGACTCCAAAAAACATTCCCAGCTCCAAAAAAACCCCTGGATCAGCTCAGCGGGGCGGGAAGGCCCATCCCGCTGAGCTGAGGGAGGAATTTCGCTGGAAAATGGGATGGAAATGAATTCCCAGGGCTGGGCTCCACATCCAGGCCTGGGAATGTGGAATTTCAGAGGTGCAGGCCCAAACCCCTCGGGAGCGCTAATGAGGGGCTAATTAACGATGGTTAATGAGGGGCTGTGGCCTCGGGGGTGTTGCACTGGTTTAACTGGAACCCCTGGAGCCCAAACTGGGATTTGGGAGGGGATTTTGGGAGGGGATTTTGGAAGGAGCCCCCTCGCAGCCCTGCTGACCCAGGGGAGGATTCCATGAGGAATTTTATCCGGGTTCCTTTGGAAAAAGGGGTGAGGGTGGGATTTGGGGTGGGATTTGGGGTTGGGCGTGCTGGACCCTGGTGGATCTCAGGGTGTCAGCACCCCCAAAGTTGTGCTGCCCATGAGGGGACAGGGTGGGTCAGAGCCACCCCAAAAGCGCTAAAACCCCATAAAAAAACCCCAATTTTGTCACAGGTCACAGAGTTCCTTCTGCCTCCCCCACAGCCAGAGTGGGGAAGGGGTCGGGCATCGGTGCCATCGGGTTTTGGGGTGCCCACACTGCCCTGGAGGGGTCCCCACAGTTTTTGGGGGTGCACACCCCAATCTGCCTTCAGGGTGGGGTCCCCCCATTGCCCATTGGGGTCCCCACACTGCTTGAGGGCACCTGGGGCTGTGTCTGGGGGTCCCCACATTGCTCATTGGGGTCCCCACATTGCCCAGAGGGTCCCCACATTGCCCATTGGGGTCCCCCCATTGCCCATTGGGGTCCCCACACTGCTTGGGGGCACCTGGGGCTGTGTCTGGGGGTCCCCACATTGCCCAGGGGGTCCCCACATTGCCAGGGAGTGTCCCCAAATTTCCCAGTGGTGTCCCTACCGTTTCCAGGGGTGCACCCCCACCCTGTCCAGCGTGATCCCACCCTGTTTGGGGGTCCCCACATTACCTGGGGGTGTCCCCACCCTGCTTGGGGACCCCCATATCACCCCGGGGTGTCCCCACTCTTCCCGGGGGTGTCCCCACATTGCCCGGGGGAGTCTCTCCTCTTTCCGAGGGTGCATCTGCCGCCCTGTCCAGCGTGTCCCCACCCTGCTTGGGGGTCCCCATATCGCCCCGGGGTGTCCCCACTCTTCCCAGGGGTGTCCCCACCCTGCTTGGGCACCCCCATATCGCCCCGGGGTGTCCCCACATTGCCCGGGGAGTGTCCCCAAATTTCCCAGTGGTGTCCCCACCCCTTTGGGGGGTGCACCCACTGCCTTGTCCAGCGTGTCCCCACCCTGCCTGGGGGTCCCCATATTACCTGGGGGTGTCCCCACCCTGCTTGGGGACCCCGATATTACCAGGGGGTGTCCCCCCCCTGCTTGGGGACTCCCATATCGCCCCGGGGTGTCCCCACTCTTCCCCGGGGTGTCCCTACATTGCCCGGGGGAGTCTCCCCTCTTTCCAGGGGTGCATCTACCGCCCTGTCCAGAGTGTCCCCACTCTGTTTGGGGACCCCCATATTACCTGGGGGTGTCCCCACTCTTCCCGGGGGTGTCCCCACATTGCCCCGGGGAGTGTCCCCAAATTTCCCAGTGGTGTCCCCACCCTTTTGGGGGGTGCACCCACTGCCTTGTCCAGCGTGTCCCCCCACCCTGCCTGGGGACCCCCATATTACCTGGGGGTGTCCCCACCCTGCTTGGGGACCCCGATATTACCTGGGGGTGTCCCCACCCTGCTTGGGGACCCCCATATCGCCCCGGGGTGTCCCCACTCTTCTCGGAGGTGTCCCCACATTGCCCGGGGAGCGTCCCCAAATTTCCCAGTGGTATCCCCACCCTTTTTGGCGGTGCACCCACTGCCTTGTCCAGCGTGTCCCCACCCTGCTTGGGGACCCCGATATTACCAGGGGGTGTCCCCACCCTGCTTGGGGACCCCCATATTGCCTGGGGGTGTCCCCACTCTGCTTGGGGACCCCCATATTACCTGGGGGTGTCCCCACTCTTCCCGGGCAATGTGGGGAGCGTCCCCAAATTTCTCAGTGGTGTCCCCACGCTTTTGGGGGGTGCACCCACTGCCTTGTCCAGCGTATCCCCCCACCCTGCTTGGGGTCCCCAAATTACCCGGGGGTGTCCCCACCCTGCTTGGGAACCCCGATATTACCCGGGGGTGTCCCCACCCTGCTTGAGGACCCCGATATTACCAGGGGGTGTCCCCACCCTGCTTGGGGACCCCGATATTACCCGGGGGTGTCCCCACCCTGCCTGGGGGTCCCCATATTACCTGGGGGTGTCCCCACCCTGCCTGGGGGTCCCCATATTACCTGGGGGTGTCCCCACCCTGCTTGGGGACCCCGATATTACCCGAGGGTGTCCCCACCCTGCTTGGGGACCCCGATATTACCTGGGGGTGTCCCCACCCTGCTTGGGGACCCCGATATTACCTGGGGGTGTCCCCACCCTGCTTGGGGACCCCGATATTACCCGGGGCTGTCCCCACTCTTCCCGTGGGTGTCCCCACATTGCCCGGGGGAGTCTCCCCTTTCCGGGGGTGCATCTGCCGTCCTGTCCAGCGTGTCCCCACCCTGCTTAGGGACCCCGATATTACCTGGGGGTGTCCCCACCATGCCTGGGGGTCCCCACATTACCTGGGGGTGTCCCCACTCTGTTTGGGGACCCCCATATTACCTGGAGGTGTCCCCCCCCTGCATGGGGACCCTCATATCGCCCCGGGGGTGTCCCCACTCTTCCCGGGGGTGTCCCCACATTGCCCGGGGGTGCATCTGCCGCCCTGTCCAGCGTGTCCCTATCCTGCTTGGGGGTCCCCATATTGCCTGGGGTGTCCCCACCTTGCTTGGGCACCCCCATATCCCCTCGGGGTGTCCCCACATTGCCAGGGAGTGTCCCCAAATTTCCCAGTGGTGTCCCTATCGTTTCCAGGGGTGCACCCCAACCCTGTCCCGCGTGTCCCCACCCTGCTTGGGGACTCCCATATTACCCGGGGGTGTCCCCCCCCTGCTTGGGGACCCCGATATTACCCGGGGATGTCCCCACCCTGCTTGGGGACCCCGATATTACCCGGGGGTGTCCCCACTCTTCCCTGGGGTGTCCCCACCCTTTCCACGCGTGCACCCCCCACTCTGCCCGTGGGCTCCCGCCACCTTTGGGGTCCCCCAGCCCGCTGTCCCCCCCTCGCTGGTGCCTTCACCCCGTTCCTGTCCCCGTCCCCCTTAAGCCGCCGTCGGGGCGTGCAGCCACCTTAAGGGAGCCCCTCCCCCGGCGGGCTGGGACCAGCCCTCCCCCTCCCTGCCCGCCGTCCCCTCCCTCGCCGGCCCGGCCCCGCACGGCCCCGCACGGCACGGGGGGTTGCCATGACGAGCGTTTTCTCCCGTTAGCACCGGGACCGCTCCCCTCCAGCCCATGGCCAGTCGCGGGGGCTCCGCCGCCAACCGGGCGCCGTGGGACCGGACCCGGTGAGTGCGAAGTGGGGGGGTCCCCAGCAGTTTGGGGTCCCACGGGGGGGTTGGAGGTGTTGGGGACACGCGGGAGTGGCGTGGGGTGGCTGCAGAGGGGGGGGTCTGTGTAGGAAGGGGGGTGGGAGCATCGCCGCCCCCGCCGTGGGGCGATGGCAGTGGGGGTCTCACCGCCCCGCTCCGTCCCGCTGCAGCAGGTGGGATGAGGGGGGGGCTCGCCGTGGGTTCTGCATCACGGGGGGGTCCCACACCGACCCCAGTCCCGCGTGGGGTGATGGGGTGACGGCGGTCCGGCCGCTCCGGGGCGTGGGCGGTGTGGGGAGTGCGGCCCCCAAATATCTCGTGGGGGGCAGCTCCGGCAGCACCCCCCGGATTTGGGGTGGGGAGGATGCTCCGGTCGGATCCTACAACTTGTTGCCCGCCCTTGAGGTGGCTGTGTGTGTGTGCGGGGTTCCCGGTCGCGCGTGTTGCTGGATTTTTTGGGAGGCAGCGAGTTGTGGCATTGCGGGGAGGAGGAGGAGGATGAGGATGATGGAGGAAGGAAGAGGCGGGGGAAGGGGAGGGGGGCTTGCGGCAGCCCAAGGACAGAGCGGGGAAGGTGCTGCGTGGGTGGGTTTGGGGTGTTTTTTTCCCCACGCGTGGGGCAGCAAAGGGGGGCTGCTCCTTGCCTGGAGTGGGGTGACACGGGTGGGTGGGATGCAGTGGGGAGGTGCGTGGGGGTGGGGGTGGGTTGCCCACGCCACGGCTGGGCACGTCCCCCTCCTGCCTGCACCAATCCAGCTGGGCAGAGCCACAGCAGAAAAAAAAAAACAGGAGTGGGGAGGCGGAAAATAAATTAAAAAATAAATCAGGAAATCTATTGCAAGCCCGGCCAGGCTCTGGCCTCGTCCGCCTCCTCCTGCCTCTGTCCCCAGCGCTGTCCCTGCATCCCAGCCCGGCTCCGGAGCCTCCCAGCATCCCTGGCCTGGCTCGGTGGGTCCGTGCCCCCCGTGGGCTGCCGGCGGCGGGGGCGGGGGGGGCTGTGCGGAGCTGGGTGGTCCCTCCCTGCTTCGCCAGAGGCGAGTGGAGATGTTGGGAGGGGAGGAGGGACAATAGGTTATTGTGCTCTTATCTCTGGAGACCTGAGCTTGGGTGGGGGTTTGCATTGCGAAGCTCAAACCAGTGCAGCCAGTTTCTGCCCGTGGCCGTGGACTGGCAGCCCTGGACGTGGGTGGACGGGCCGGAGCAGAGGGCAGCGAGCCGGGGTGGAGGTGAGTGCTCGGAGCTCGCCATGGGGCACCCAGAGCCATCCTTGGGGCCTGGGGGACCCCCGAGGTGAACCCCCCATCCCAAACCCCCTGGGCTGCGTGGACAAGGCAGGGGCTGCACCGCTGCCTGCGCCCTGCCTGCCTCCAGACGTTGCCCTCAATCTTTCGCTTCTCTGAGCACTGAAAACGCACCTAAATTATTCAATCATGAGCGAGCGAGGCTGACGCCCCCGCGCTCCGCCAGCCCCACCCCGCCGCGCCCCGGGGATCCCTCCCGGGCCTGGGCTTCCCTCCCCGGTCACCCCTCGGGTGACCCCCGGACCCCTCCCTGCCAGCGGCTCAAGGGGGCTGCAGGTGCCCCTCGGATCGGAGGAGCGGACCCTTCCTCAAAGGTGGGCGCTGGGTGGGCTTGGAGGCCGAATTGTGAGTGCCTGAGGCCGGGCTGGAGGATGGCCGCGGCACGGGGAAGGTGCCGGTGCCGGGATGGTGCAGCTGGAGCTGGGAGGAGGCAGCGCTGCCCCGTTCCTGCCCCGTTCCTGCCCCGTTCCTGCCCCGTTCCTGCCCCGGCACCGCGCGGTCCCCGCGGGGCCGCGGCTGCCGCTGCCCGTCCTACCCCGGCTCCTTCCCGGCTGGAAAAGCGCTGCAGGTAGAGAGGATTGAGGGCGCAGGGTGTTGTTGGGTGTTGGTTTCTTTTTTTTCTTTTTTTTTTTTTTTTTCTTCTTCTTCCTTTTTTTTTTTTTTTTTTTTTTTTTTTTCCGCTGGCGATGATGACGGAGGGAATTCCCTGCGCTGCCGGCTCGCCGCCCGCGTGCCGTGGGTCCGCATCTCCGTCTCTTCCCGGGGGAATCCTGCCGCTCTCACCCCAGCCTTGCGCCTCCGGAGCCGGGAGCCGCCGCGCCCCAGCCCCGGGGCAGGGCGGGGGCAGCCCAAGGGTGGCACAGCTCCTTGGGCAGGATGAGTAAGAGCAGGGAGGGACGCCTGCTCCTCTCCACTATTGTTTAGCAGTCGAAAGCTCCGGGGTGGAGCTGAGCCTGGAGTTTCCCCTTGTCCCCAAGCCCTGCGAGACGAGCCCGCTCCTTCCCCGCCCGCCCCTCGCCGGGGCCGCGCGTTCCCCTCTCCTCTCCTCTCTAGGGTTGTGTGTGTTTTTTTAGGTTTTTTTGGTTTTTTTTCCTGTTTTTCCTCATTGCTAGGCCAGTTTTCCCGCAGGGTTGGAGCCTGCGGGGAATTTGGGGACCCAAATCCCTGCGATGGGGATGGACTCGCAGCCGCCGCCCGTTCGCTGCTGCCTCTGCTGCGGATGCTCCCCGAGCAGGGCCCGGCCCAGGGCTGGGCTGGCAGCTCCGGCTTCCTCCTCGCCCACGGCTCCTCCCCGCCGGGCACGGCTGCGCCCTGCTGGGAAAGGAGCCGGAAAACCTGCGGGGAGAGCCCGGGCATCCCGCTGGCTCCGGGAGAGCCTGGGCAGGGACAGCGAGAGCCGGCGGGGAGACACGGTGTGGCTTTGGGAAGTGACCGATGGTCAGGGTGGGTGTGGGAGTGGGATGCAGGTCGTTTGGGAAGTGACCAGTGGTCAGTGTGGGTGTGGGAATGGGATGCAGGTCGTTTGGGAAGTGACCGATGGTCAGGGTGGCCGTGGAAATGGGTGCGGGTCCTTTGGGCAGTGACCGATGGTCAGTGTGGCTGTGGAAATGGGATGCAGGTCATTTGGGCAGTGACCGATGGTCAGGGTGGGTGTGGAAATGGGATGCAGGTCATTTGGGCAGTGACCGATGGTCAGGGTGGGTGTGGAAATGGGATGCAGGTCGTTTGGGAAGTGACCAATTGTCAGTATGGCTGTGGAAATGGGATGCAGGTCGTTTGGGAAGTGACCAGTGGTCAGTGTGGGTGTGGGAATGGGATGCAGATCGTTTGGGCAGTGACCGATGGTCAGGGTGGGTGTGGAAATGGGATGCAGGTCGTTTGGGAAGTGACCGATGGTCAGTGTGGCCGAGGAAATGGGATGCAGGTCATTTGGGAAGTGACCAATTGTCAGTATGGCTGTGGAAATGGATGCGGGTCCTTTGGGCAGTGATCAGTGGTCACTATGGCCGTGGAAATGGGATGGAGGTCGTTTGGGAAGTGACCCATGCTCCATGTGACTGTGGCAATGGGAAGTGACCAGTGGTCAGTGTGACCACAACAGTGGGATGCAGGCCCTTAGGTGGGAGGTGACCAGTGCTCGCTGTGACCATGGCAGTGGAAGTGACCAGTGCTCAGTGTGACCGTGGCACTGGAAGTGACTATGGCAGTGGAAGTGACCAGTGGTCACTGTGACCATGGCGGTGGAAGTGACCAGTGCTCGGTGTGACCGTGGCACTTGGAAGTGACTATGGCAGTGGAAGTGACCAGTGGTCACTGTGACCATGGCAGTGGAAGTGACCATGGCAGTGGAAGTGACCATGGCAGTGGAAGTGACCAGTGCTTGGTGTGACCATGGCAGTGACCAGTGCTCGGTGTGACCATGGCAGTGGAAGTGACCAGTGGTCAGTGTGAGGTGACCATGGCAGTGGAAGTGACCAGTGCTCGGTGTGACCATGGCAGTGGAAGTGACCAGAGCTCGGTGTGACCACGGTGATGGATGCAGGCCCTTAGGTGGGAAGTGGCCACTGCAGCACAGGCGGTGCCACTTCCCTGGTGTCCCCCATCTCCCAGTGGCTAGCTGGGAGCTCCTGGATCCAGGGCTGCTGCAGCATTCCCGGTAAGGAATGGCTGTTCTGGCACGCCGGAGGGGCTCTGGTGTGCAGAGCTGGGAATTTGAACCCATCCTGGTCCCCCTGTGTTGTGCTGGGGGGAATAGGGATCCGATGGGTGGTGATGGGGCTGGAGATGCTCCTGGGGGAAGGAGCTTTGGTGGCAAAGGTGGCAGAGCTGTCCCCAACCTCCCTCCTCTCCACAGTGGTGCAGACAAAGGTGACCAGCTGGGGGACAGGGACAGGCAGGTGACAGGATCCTGCCCAGCCCAGTGGTTTTCCAGTGGAAGCCACTGGTTTTCCCAGTGGCACTGGGACTGGGAATGTGTTTTGGGGTGCAGGACCAGCCTTGGGGTCCCTGGGAGCAGTCGGGTGACAGCCACAATCCCTGTCACCTCCTACCAGCGCTGAGGCTGAGCTAATGAACCCTGTGACTTTGATGTTTTAATTAGTTGCTTTTGGCTTTAATGCACGGGGATAATAGAGTTTCTATGGACTCATAAACCCTGCCCCTCTGCTGGATCATTAGGAAAAGGGAAAAAAGCCACAAGGTAAGGCTGGGTAGGGACAGGAGGGAAGCTGGAGCCCTGTGGAGTGCATGACACCCGCTGGGGTGTCACCCAGCCAGCTGGTGACTCTTTTAAACCGCTAATTAAGCGCCTTAAATCCTGGGAGAACTCTCTGTGAGTAAGAGCTGAGTTCAGAGTCCTCCTGCGTTTGTGAGCTTCTGGGAGGGGTCTCAGATTTGAACGTGGGAAGCTGATGCACAGCGAGGTCCCGGGAATCAGGAATTGGGATTGTGGGATTCCCTTTTGGGGCTGGCCCTGCTCCTTCCAGCGTGTAGAACTCCACCAGGGTCCCCACGTCCCTTGTCACCAGCCTGGGCTGGTGTCCCACCAGCCCAGGCTGGTGACAAGGGACGTGGGGACCCTGGTGGAGTTCTCCTGGGATTTCTGGATCATGTCATCAAGTCCTACATGGAAACCTAAATATGGACCAGGAGGGTGCAGGCTGGGGAGGGAACACG